GGAAGTCCTAGCTGGTATCGCTCAGTGGATTGAGTGCCAGCCTGCAAACTAAAAGGTTGCCAGTTTGATTCCCAGTCAGGACACATGCCCGGGTTGGGGGCCAGGTCCCCAGTTGGGGACACATGAGAGGCAACCACACATTGATGTTTCTCCCCATCTCTTTCTCCCTCCCTTCCCTCTCTCTAAAAAATAAATATATATAAAATCCTTAAAAAAAAAAAAAAAGCAAGGACAAGTTTGTTACATAAAATAAAGAATAAAAATGAGATAATAAAGAAATCCTTTATCTTCAACCTGTCAGAGATAAGTACTCTAAAATATTTTTTTGCCTTGGTTGGTGTGGCTCAGTGGGTTGGGCGCTGGCTTGCCAACCAAAAGGTCACTGATTTGATTCCCAGTCAGGTTACATGCCTGGGTTGCAGGCCAGGTCCCCTGTTGGGGGTGTGAAAGGCAACCAATCAGTGTTTCTCTTCCTCTCTTTCTCCTTCCCTTCCCCCATCTCTAGAAATGAATAAATAAAAGTTAAAAAAATTTTTTTCAACTTATTTTTCAAAAGCAGGATAATCCTACATATGCTGTTTTTAAAATTCACTTTCCCCCTTTCCTTTCCCGCTCTGGCCCCAGACGCAGCAGCAGCCACCATGATGTCGATGCCCAAGAAGCAGATTGCCATTAATGAACTTTTTTTTAAGGAGGGAGTGATGGTAGCCAAGAAGGATGTGCACATGGCTAAATACCTCGAGCTGGCAGACAAGAATGTGCCTAATCTTCACATCATGAAGGCTAGTCTCTCAAACCACGAGGCTATGTGATGGAACAGTTTACCTGGAGGCATTTCTACTGGTACCTTACCAACGAGGGCATCCAGTATCTCTGTGTCTACCTCTCCCTGCCCCCTAAGATTGTGCGCTGTGGCTGCCCTGAGGCTGGCAGGCCAAGGCCCACAGGTCTGGAGAGCAAGTGACCTGCAAGACTCACACAAGGGGAAGCTGACAGAGACACCTACAGAAAGAGCTCTGTCCCCCTGGTGTGGACAAGAAAGCCGAGGCCAGGACTGGATCAGCAACCAAATTCCAGCTCAGAGGTGGATTTGGTCGTGGACCTGGTCAACCACCTCAGTAAAATTGGAGAAATTATTTTGTGTTGAATAAACTTGTGGTCAGAAAATTGAAATAATAGTACAAAAATAAATAAAACCCGCTTTCCCATTTATTATAGCATGAATGTTTGATTTATTAAAAAACATCTTATTAGTAGCTGTAAAGAATTTCATCACATAGATGTGGTTGAATTTGATTAACACAGCAGCATATGGATAATTTGTTTATAACCATAGAAGCTGGAAAAACAAAATTTATTAAAGGAATGGAAATTATACCACACATGGTAAAAGTAATGAATATGACTTTTTATTTTGGTTTTGTAGTATAGACAATACAAATACCCTCTCCACATCAGGACGGGCTCAGACCACACCCGCCTCTTTCTGCACCACTCAGTGCAAGCCTGAGGGACAACCCTTCTGCAGGACTAGGCAGAGCAGTCTGGATTGCTAGGAAGTGAGGGCAGTTGTGGGTTGTATCATGTGACTGTATGGGAGCTATATGCATCTGCATCTCTTCTACCTGGATCCAGACAGATGAAATATTTCCACCAAAAGATTCATTCCTCAGGATCAATCAACAAGAGTTCTGTCCCTTAAATAAAATTACATGCCCCTGGTAAGGGCAGGACATGTGTATAAAATCAGTCTTTACCCAGAGGGACTTCATCAGCTTGGGAACATGACATTTCTGAAAGCACATAGCTCTCCAGAAGCCACTGAGGACACGGACCAGGAGGGTGAAGTCCTGAGGTCACATACTCCGGCTGGGATCATTTGTGGACTTGGATAGTTAACATTTGGAGGGAATACGCCAGTCTGATCTCCAAATTTCCTCTCAGTAGTCCATGCTAAAGTGACACTGAAAGGCTGTTCTGTCTCCACCCTGGACTCTGTCTTGTTTCCTCTCAATCCTCTGACCCTGGCTAGACCCACCTACCAACTCAACCTATTCCTCCTTTTGTTTGAATTATCTCAGTTAATAGTACCATTTGTTCAGTTATCAAATTTAGTGATTTTTGTTTCCTCTCTCACCCTCACAGCCCACCTAGTCACCAGTTCTTGTTGATTTTGCTTCTGGGCTAATTCCTAACCCCTTCCCACATCCTCAATCTCAGGACCACTGCCTGACTATAGGGCACCTGACTTTCCAATCCAGCCTCAGAAGGGTCCATCTGATGTAGGTACTGATTATGCCCCACCTGTGTCTAAAGGTACCCAAACTCTTCAGTGTGGGATCCAAAGGTCTTTACACCCTGGAACCCACTTACTGTAATCTATTCTCCCCAGCTCCTAGTCTCCAGCCACATTAGTTCACAAGACTTCTTCTTACCACCCCTTTCTATACCATACCTTTGTAGGTATTCCGGTCATAATTTGGCAAACTCTCATTTATCTGTCAAGAGCTAGACTGTATGTCCCCCCTGTAACTTGAATTTCATTATTCTTGATTTTGGTATAATTGTCTCCTCTTCCCACCTAGATTGTGAACTTCTTGAGGGTAGGCCAGGGACCTACCCCTGTACTTAGCATGGTGCTCAGTAAACAGACACTCAACAAATGATTATTATATTAAAGGGCTCGTGCCTATATTCTGTCCTGTACTGTAATCTGTTCGTGTGTATGAGGTGTGACCAGGTCTGGTGTGACTCACTGTTTAACAAGCATACCAGAATTTATATATGCAAACAGGAGCTGCTGCCTTCAGTCTTCTCCTTATGAGATTGGACACTTCCTTCAGTGATGCTGTCATTGCTCAAGGTATCTTTGGAATACCTCTCAGAAACAACTTCGGCATTTACATCACTTTCTCTCCAATATCCTCTGTGGTAGCATTTTTCATTTTTTCAATATTTTTAATGCACTTATCTATCCCAGACATCAAGATGATACTGGGTGAAAGATAAATCAGATATTTACTCAGTCTTCAAGGAAGTTTCTGATTGGTGAGGGAGATAAGATCTGGACGACCATTGCAATCCAAGGTTAAGTGCTAACAGTCCACAGAGGTTGGATTTGATTTTTGGAAAAAGCCAAAAGTCCTCTGGTTTCAACCTCCCAACAAAGTGGATGACAAAGGTATTTGATAACACACTGCTTTAAGCCAGTGTGTTCTGAAGACTTCTAAATGGGTGCCCAGTGAGTTCCCAGGACCTCTCTCCCCTCAAGATACTAAATTCTTCTGGTGTGTTTGTTTAAATCCCAGACCCCACTTTATGGCAACGGTCCTCTGTGTATAGTCTTCCCAGCTAAGTGATGAGCTTTTTAAAGGCAAGTGCTGAGGTCTTACCCTTCATCATTGTTTTCACAGCAACCAGGTGGACACATCATACCTGTTGGATACTTATTGAGTTACTCCATTCCCTTGTGTGTACTCTGTACTGACAGCTCTGCAGATCAGCAAGTGACAGAAGAGAAAGGCTGAGGACTAATGCCGGGAGGGCACGAGTTAGGACACTGGCAGAGGATCTGGGACCAGAGCGCGCAGTTCCTGCTTCCTGGTTCCCTGGAGCGAAGGCCCCTTGATAGGAGCCGCTGAGAGGGAGCAGCCCTTCCAGCGCGCCGGGCGCCCCCCGCTTCTCCAGCCTTCCGCGGACTTGTGCGCCGGGACGTCCGTCCGCAGCCAGGGACGCGGAGGGTGGCGAGGTGCGAAGCCGGAGCCGCGTCACCAACAAGACACCCACCCCTTAACCCTGACTAAGAGGAAGGTTTTCAGCTCCCGGGAACCAGAGTCTGAGACTCCGCCCGGTGGGGCAGGAACCCGGAGTTTGGGGCAGAGGAAAAGTACGGACGAGAGATCAAAGGGAAAGTTTGTGTGCGGGGAACCGCTGAGGCCGGATCCCGAAAGTGAGGTCAAAGTTGGGGGTCAGCGCCGCGGAGCTCCGCTCCCGCCGCCCCTCCCCCGCCCGGCTCCCTCCCGCGCTGGCCCCGCCCCGCCCGGCATCCCCCTCCCCCGTCGGCCCGCTTCCCAGTCTCCACCCCGAGGGGCCGGTGGCGGGGCCGCCACTCCCTCCGCTCCCTCCTTCAGCTGCGCGCATCTCATACCAGCCCTCATTCCGCACATTCCAGGCTCCCTCCTTTCAAACTCCAGGCCGGGGGCGGGAGGGTCCGCAGCTCCGGCTCCAGCGCCAGCCGCCTGGTACCCCAGGTGAGTGCCTGGCCCGCCGCGCGCCCCCGCCGCGTGCTCTGCTCGCTCCTTTCTGTCGGCCTCGCCCCTTCCCGCCCTGGACCTCAGGCTCCGGCCGCTCTCCGGACTCATCTCCCTCTTAGACCCCGCTCCCTCCGTGGCTTCCCGACCCCTCTCCTGTTGCCTCCGCCCCCTGCGCCGGCCAGCTTCCCCGGCTCCCTTCCTTTGGCCGTTGACTCACCGCTCCAGGAATAGGGATCTCCCGTGTTTTCCCGGCAGTCCCGTTCTGGGAAAACTCCTCCCTCTGTGCGCCGCTCCGCGAGTCGGACGGGGTGGCAGCGAACTAGGCTCCGGGAGCTGGGTAGGCTGGGTTCGCTGCCCCGCCTTCCTCCCCGCCCCGCGCGCTGGTCGACCTCCGAGCGGGAGCCGGGTCTCCGCGCGCTGACCCAGGGCGTCCCTGCAGAGCCTGCTCCGGGCGTCCGGGAACTCAGCGGAGCTGCGGCTTCAAGAGATAGCGCGCGGAACAGACTCACATAACTAGCTTAGCCCAGCCACCGCACCTTCCCGCACTCTGGTACCGGTAAGGCAACGGCGCGGGGAGGTGCGGGGAGGCGCGGGGAGGCGTTAGCTCTAAGCCAGCGGCAGGCATTGGTAGGGGGGGTGAGGGATGGGGGGTGGGGGCGGGCGCGTGAGGAGCTCTGACCCGGATGGACTAGGAAGAGGGCCGGGCACGTGGAGGCTCTGCAGACCGCAAGGGTCGGGGTGGGACACGAGGCACGTGGGCAAAAGGGAGTTTGGAGAGCTGAAAGGACCTCAGGTAGAACCAAGAACCCCGGCGATGGAAGAGACCTAGCATCCATGCCTCTTTATCCTGCTTGGCCCTTTTTGCGCTTGCAAGATAGTCCTGGAGGTAGGTGTGTTGGTTGTTTTAAATGCTGTGGCTTTGCTAGAGCGTTGGGGGCCCGTACCGAAGTCCTTGGTCTCCAGGGCTGTGAAGCCTGATGTTTCCATGATGGGGATTCGTGGATCTAGGGAGCAGAACTCCCAAACCTCGAAGCAGACATTTCCCAGGAACACGCCCTCTGTGCACAGGTGTGTAAAGGGAGTTCTGGTCAGACCAAGTGGGTTTCCGATGAACTCTCTGTGAGGTAGTGTGACTGTCCTATCTCATTAGTTTTGGGTGTATGTGAGGGTGGTATCTGTTCACATATGACTCACCTTGGCTTCCAGTAGGTGTATTTGTTTGAGTATGGTTCCACTTGAGAAGAGTGCTGTCTGTCTGTCTATTTGTGCATCTTTAAGTGTGTATTTTTCTTGAGGATGTTGGTTTGGGGCAGGACTGTTCTTCCGCCCTGCATAACTGGGCCAGAGACAGTGTCTCCGGTTGTATGTGTGCAGGGATAATTTAACTCGTTGTTGGAGCTTGTGGCACCCAGGCTCCATTGGTTATCGACTGGGCAGAGCTGGACTGAAAGCTGTCTTTCTGAGGGAGAGTGGGTTCTGTTCTTGCCTGAAACAGTTTAGAGAACAAGCTGGTAGAAGGGTAAAGAAATCTGAGATCTTTGTGGTTTCTTGATGGGACGGGTTATTGATAATTATAGTTGAGGATGATGATTATGGAGGTGGACCCTCCCCACCCCCGAAAGAGGAGAACATTTGAACCTTGAGACTTGTGCAGACGGCACTTTTAAAGTTGGCCCCAAGGACAAAGAAGAATTCATGTATCCCAGCCAGAACTACTTTATACTGGTCCAACTCTCCTTAGAGCTGCCCCTGCAGTCAAATGGATGAATCGTTCCATCTTTACAACTTGCTAGACCGTTCTATACTTTCCTGTGGCAAGGGGAATGACTAGCACATGTCATAAATGCTACAGTGCCCGCCTGGGAGGGAAGGGCTGCCTGTGATTTGCTGGTTGACCAGTGGGGAGACCCTCACTGGGTGTCTCAGTTTCCCCATCTCTTCATTTCTGCTTTGCTTTCTGTTTTCCCTCCATTTGGGGTTTTACTATCTGAAGCATTTTCAAGGAGTGAACAGGGTAGGGAAGAGAGCCAAAATGACCAGGTTCTCAGAGGTGACATAGCCAGTGGGGGTGGGGGTCCAGAGACAGACCTGACCTCGGAGTTCTGCGTTTCCACAATGTGATGATGTGGGCATAATGTTTAGCGTTTCTTGGAAGGAAGGACCAAGACACTCTCATTGGGGTGAGGACTCTGGTCACTGCTTGCTCCTCCATGCGTCCTGAGGATGCATATGTTCTGGTGGGACCGTCCTCACTCTCACTTGCGTAGGCCAGGTGTGGGGCTGGGGCTTCCAGGGTGTCTGGTCTAAAGGCAGCATTGATGGAGTGGAAAGGGTACAGCTTTGGGGTCAGACATATCTAGGTACAAATCCTGACTGCTACTTACTACCTTTGAGGCTCTCAGGGTGTTTCCTGATGAGTAATATGAGAGGGGGTTAGTTGATATCTATCCAGAAAGTTTGTTGGGAAATTTCGACGTTTGCAAAGCATGTAACATAGTGCATGACACAGCCCAGGGCCTCGGTAGCTAGTGTTCCCTGAGCTTATTTCAGCATGGAACCTCTTTTTCCTGGGGACTTCTCAGAACACCGTTTGATAAACCCTGCCCTGTTCATTCATGTTTATTTAGCAAACGTGAATTGAACATTTACTATAGGCCAAACCCTGAAGCATGTTCTTCATCCTTAGAAACCAGGGTAGCTAGTGAACCAGGTGAAGGTGGGAGGCAGGGCTTTGTCACGGAAGCACACAGGGCCTCCAACTCCTAAGTTTTAATTCCAGTTTTGCCTTTACTCCAGAGTGAACTTGCAGAACGTTAATGGACACTCTAATGTTACCATGTAACTCCCTCATATTAAAGGTGGGAAATTTGAGGCCCCTGAAGGGACAATAACTTGCTTAAGGTCTCACAACCAGTGAGTTGCAGACCTGGGAGTAGAATGCAGTGTTTTCACTCTGCATTCTTTCTCCTGCTCTGTGGATCCCAAAACTCAGACCCCCTAGTCACTTCCATCTAACAGGAATGGCGGCCAGAACAGTTTTACTTGGGCAATTTCTGTCATCCTGTGGCTCAGATAAGGTTGTTAGGCAGAAATATTCCCCTCTCTACCAGCAAAAAGCATAGAACTGTGGAATCTGAGAATGCCAATTCCAGAAGGACGCCTTAGGAGGTCTTTAAAAGCCACCCTCCCTTCTCCTTGCTGGTGTATACATTACTCGGGCCAGGCAGAGAAGGGTCTCTATCTTTCAAGACCTGGGATGCAGATGTCGCAGCCTCCTGTGGTTTCCATGCTGGAGTCTTGTGTGGGTGACTGTCACAGAGCAATACCTGTTGCCTAATCTGTGGCTTCTCTCCTCTCCGGGGGTGGGGGGTGGGGGGTGGGAGGTGAGGTGAGAGACCTGAGTCTCCATTTTGCTGCTTTTCCTGTAGTTGAGGTCAGTCTGGGGGCAGTGGGAAATTCAGGGCTTGTAAGGGTGGCTCTACCTTGCCCGTCTTCCTTTGCCCCCCATGACCCTTTCTTGGCTGGGGTTGGGAGGAGAGCTCCCTTTAAAGCTCTGAAATTGGAGCTGAACAGCTGCTCTCCAGTCTCCCGTCCCTCCCGCAGGGGTTTAACCGCTTAGGGGCCCAGGTGGAGGTGGGGGCAGGGCTTTGTCCCTGGGTAGCACAGTCTCCAAATCGTATGTTTTACTTCCAGCTTTGCCTTGACCGCTTCTGAAATGACAGTTCTCTCCTTGCTTTTGGGCTTTTCCATTTAGATATTGGGGAGATTCTAATTACTTCCTCTGTGATATAGTTCTGGAGCCCTCAGCTGGTAGCGGCTGGATCTTTGGGAACATTTCCACTGGAACTCCAGTCCCTAAGATCTGTGCTCACACCTCCTGCCTTTAATACTGGCAGGCTCGTGGAAAGGCAGGAGGGTAGGCCTGGCTCCCTGTGGGCAGCTTGGTGGTGGTGCTGAGGGTAGGCGGGCCCCCATGGGTGGGGACTCAGCTTCCTTTGACCCAAACTTCATGGGAACAATAGACTTCAGAGGAGTCACCAGGGACAGGAAATGGGAGCTGTGCTAAGGCAGGGTAACCCTCCTGGGGGATGGGATTGCATATCCGGCCGATAGGAAGGGCTGCGTGTTGGGGGCAGTGCAAAGGGCACCGGGGAGGGGCTGATGACACATAGGGTGGGCCTCTCCTCTGAAGGGGGCTGTTAGCTCAGTGAAACCTGAGCTGCTCAGAGCCCATTATTTGGCTGAGCCTTCCGCTTTGTGTTTTACTAGCAAAGGCATTGTGTGTGGTACCTGCCACTCTCCCCTGCTGCCCAGCTCACCCCTGCCAGACCAGGTCTCTCCCTTTCCTTCAAGCCCCCTAAGATGTCTTTGCGAATCGTCCTGGCCCGGATAAAAGGCTAGTTTTGTTTCTTCCTGGATGATCTCCATCTTGGCGTTGAGCCTTGGGTAATAGTTGACTGGGGAGGCGATCTGTGCAGTGGGCAGAGCTCTGGGTGGAGAGGCACAGGCCTGGACAACATGAAAGAGTTTTGTTGTTGTTGTTGTTGTTCGGTTTTTTTGTTTGTTTTTTTGTTTTGTTTTGTTTTTTGCCACAAGCAGAGCAAGAAGACACAGGACAGGGAGGGGAAGATTCCTGCTTGAAGCAGGTGGTGGAATGTTCTGGGAGGCAGAGCGCTCTTATCTGGCCGCCTTTGTGGGGGTAGAATAGACTTTGTGAGAGGGTCAGGAGGGTTGTGGGAGAAAAGAGAGTCAGACCACACTGAGTAGCTTTTTTTGAGTTCAGGTTGCCAGACTTTTTACAGGTCAGGTTTTGGAATCCTGAGAGAAACTGTAGGAGTGACCACAGATTCATTCTAGGGTCTAAGAGAAGGTAAAGCTGGCAAAATAACAAATGCTGTCCTGATTTATTTCTTCAGTGTGGCAAGACGGAGATCCTGGAAATGGTAGGCTGGTAAGCTTCATGTTGATCCCCCAAATTCCAGGTCAGATACTTCAGCACACAATCTAAGGGGACTTCAAAGTGAAGTTGAGATAATTAGTAGCCAACGGGTGTTCACTCTATCAAGTTTTGGAAGATAATCCAGTTTGGGTGGAGGAATGTTCAGTAAGAACTTGGAGTCTAATGATTTTCTTGAGTTGGAGAGAAGTAAATATGATCTGGCTGATGCAGCAGTCATGGGTTTGCATCTGGTTGAAAGACTACCCTGAGTCCCGACTGCGCTCACCCTGGGGGTGGAGTCCAGTGATACGCCCGCAGGGATCTCTCTGGCTTTGTACTTTATTGATTCTGTAGGTGTTTAGGACAGCAAGCATATGAGATGACAGAATCATGATTTGAAATCATCTTAATTGACTAGAATGCAAAGATTAAGCAAAAATATGAAATAAAATTTTGTTAAAAATTATACAAGCCCACAGAGCTCCGTGGACTAAGGCTGTCCTTGATGCAGACCCCGCCACACCACTGGGCGCACACACAGGCTCAGGGTGTCGTGGGCGGTGCAGAGTCAGATCGACCTGGGTTCACACTCCAGCCCCAGCATTAATCTCCCTGTAACTTTCTTCCCCTTCTGTACCGTAGAAATTAAAAAACAAAACAAACAAAAGGAAACCCTACCTCACAGAACATATTCTTTTTTTTTAATAAATTAAAGAAGTAACAAAATGGTACATAGTATCACAACTTGGTGATGAGCACAGTTAGTATTTTGGTGTATATCCCTCCAGACTTATATTCATGCAAAACCATGCATTTTAACATGATTGCAATTACATGTCCTGTTTTTTTCCCTACTGGGTACTACATAATAATATCTCATGTCATAAAAAATAATTTAAAACCACAATTGTAAGGGTCGGAATAGGATTACATTATATGAATGCACC